CAGAAGAAATTCACCTATGACATGGAACATAGCATTAAAAATAAATTTACGCATTAATATCGTGAGAGATCTGCTAGTAATACAACTTTGATCAAATCACGTATATATTATAATCACTAATATCGATCACTTTTGCTTAGCTCGTATTAATACAAGATCACGTTTTTTGTAATACAGATAATAAATTTTATTATATACTACTTTTTTAGAACTTAATAAAAATTACATATATGAAATCTCTATTCTATGAATTTTTTGAAGTTAAAACCGTTACTACTATTTCACTAGAACTATGTTCACTATCCCCAAAGTCAGAACTATATAATATTTTGTGAATTGTACATGCGACAGTTGTTCTCAGAGTCATTAATGTATGTATAAGTAGATATACAGCACTTGGGAAAGTCATATACAATAGAATTGTTGCTTTCTCTATTAAGCAGTACTTATAAATACCTGATTCTTTTCGCATAACATAAAGTTCTATAACATCGCCTGCTATTTTATATAAAGTAAATATGGTTAAATATCATTGATTGGCAAAACGCAAAATAAATTAATATATACCAGCGACGTTAATGGTAAATATATTCAAATTCTATCTCTTGAATGATTGATTGAATATTCTTTTAAGCTTTGATACATTTTTTGTAGTATCAATGGAGTCTTTGAAAAATTGAACCAACTTTTTGTGATCTCGTTATCGTTTGTCTTGAGTGGAGTTTGGTCTACCAGTTTCTAGATATACAATTTCAAGCTCTACACTTTTTCCTAGTTGTACTATAGTCATACAGCCAGGCTTTTGCACAAATTTACGAGAACTTTTCCATATGATGCTAGCTGAGCTCCCTTCCTCACCCCTATTGAAAAATATAATCATTATACTGTGATACAAAGTAAGGCTCTAAATTTAAGCTAATTCATATCTGATTTTAACTTACCATATATCCTATATAACTGGATTCCCAGGTAAATCGCTCAACACCATGTTTATTAGAGGTGCAAGTATTTCACAAATGTATGATCCTTCATTAACTGGTTTCCCTTTCTTCGAATAGGCTTTGTACTTGGGTGATTTTCAGACTTTAAGTCTGTAAAGAATTATTGATTGTTAGAAATTTGATCATCTTCTACAAAAAAATAAAGAACTTACAATGCTTCTAGTATTTGTCTAGACATTATTTGAAGCATTTCAGGCTTATCTAGCCATCTTTTATATTCAACATTACTCAAATCATCATCTATATTAATCTTCGATTTTTCATTATGGATGAACTCTTTACAAACATCCATTATAATATCATTCTGATCTAGCCTATATTTTTGGAAAGATTCCTTAAAAACATCACAAAATGATTCAGACATCTTCATAAAAAGTTCAGATCTAATATTGAAAATTTCAGAACATATTGGATGGTCGAATTCAAGGCTTTCAACATTTACTTGTTTTAATTCCATTTCGATTCATTCTCACATAATTTTTTCATAATCAGTGCTCTCATTTATAAGCTGATCAACATCACGATTTAAAAAACGCAAATTTGCGTTTACATCATTAGGTCAAGTCTTTGCATCAATCACCAGAGCTTTCATTTCTGTAAGAGAACATAAATCTTCGAAGGCACTTGTAACCTAAATATAATTAACTTAGCTTAGACTTAATATATTTTGTTAATTAAAGTAAATAATAATTTGTGGGATCAGATTAGGTTTTCATTTTTATAAACTATCAAAAATGCTGACAATGTGTTCAATAACTAATATTTGAATACATATAACTAGCTACTGCTATGCGGGAAGTGATAATATCATAACGGACATAACTCATTCACTAGCATATAAGCCTTTTAGAAAACCTAAAAAAAATACATCATATCTATATATTTGACAAGAATATAGCTTATCACCTTTACCCGTTTCGCTAATTTTTTTCTAGTACCAAAACTTTAAAGCTTCGTTTTTCATTCAACATCCTCTGAGAGGACTTGTTCTAAAACTCTTTCTAGAATATTTTCAAAGTTTTCCACTTCTTTTTTGAGAACGCCTGTACATTCACCTTGCTTAAGACGTACAAACAATGCTGTGAAAATTCTAACGTTATTAAGAGGCTCTCTTATTAAAAGGAATTCTTCCATGTTTTAATAGAATAAAAAAATTAGTATAAAACTTATTAGGTAAAGTAAAAAAATAATGTATGGTAAATTCCAATACCTTTTCGCCATATTGCTTTTTTAAATCTCTGATGACTTTTTCATTCATATTCTCTCTAACTCACATTCATGTTTAGGAAAGAGATAGAGAATTATGCAAGGTACTTTACACTAAAATTTTATGTTTAAGAGTAAGACATGTGGAATGTGTATTGAAGATCTCAACATTACATCATATATACTTTAATGAGAATTGAAAACATGTTAATTTATGTCATACACACTTACATGCATTAGCTTTGAGGCGTTTCGTTTAGCTGAATAATATAATATTCAGAATCTTTCTCAAAAAATACTTTATTAAAATTGTTATACAGTATAAGCAATCATCTATCATGTAGTGCAAAAAATAAATTATATTAATTAAATCAGTTAAACAATCATAATTTTTATTCTATCTTTCAATCTTAACGTAGTATTCCGATTAAGATGGTTTAAGTTATTTTGTTTTGCGTATATAGATAAAATAAATATTTAGCTTCTACTTATTCTATCAAACTGCGAGAGGAAATCAGGTGTATTTTTTTCAGAATATAATACCTTCTAGTTAGAAGATTTTTCACGCAATATTTCTGACTTTGAGCTTGTGAGAAGATGGGTTGGTCTCTTTAAGACCACTTTTATATGTTTATTAGTCTTAAAACATGAGTTATCCTAATGATGTTTCATCAAATCTTCGGGCTTAATCTCATACCCATATGGGAGGCGGTCAATAGAAAAGGGGGAAATCTACAAATTTTGAGTAATTTTAGTTATTAAGCTAGTTTTGTTCACATGACCATAATCAGCAGAGTGAGCCAATAAAAAAATTTTTTACTAAAAAGTGGATTTCCCCCTTTTCTACTGACCGCCTCCCATATCTCTGCCATCCACTGAAATATGTCTTTTTTGGTTTTTCATCAGTGATCTCTACTAATTTCCAACAATCGAAACAAATAGCCATTTTGCAACTGTGAATATTAGGTCTGTGATAACTAATGACAACTTTTCTCCCTTCGTAGTTATCATAGTATGTCTTGATTACTCCTTGCCTAGATGATCTGAAAAGGCAGAATACATAATAATAGCTTTTATGGCCTTCAGTAATCAATGCTTGCAAAGCGTCTTTCACACGAATAGCCCATTTCTGTGGAGTTTCATATGAACTAATAATAGATAAATTATCATATTTTTTTTCGACCTCAATCATCTTTTCGAATTGACTAGGATAAGGAAAACCATAATGGTTTCTAATATATTCAATATCATATCCAGGATGAAGATTGATGGGTTTAGGCACAATTTTATTATAATCATTGTCTAAAATAATGTCAATACACTTATTAGACCTTGGTCTGTTAATATGAGTTCCTGACATATTCAACGATTTATAGCAATTTCAATGATTTATAGCAATTTCAGTGATTTATGTATACTACAATAAATATCAGATTTATTTTTATTCGATTACAAACATATCGGGGATTTATATAGGAGCATATCTAATTTTATATTCACTGGTTTGTGGAATATTACGATTACAAGCAGATTGGAGGATTTATATATATGCATGTGAATTGTTTGTGAACCCCTTCGATCATTTCTCTTGACGTAATGTTTTGGTTAAATTAGGCCCGAGTCAATAATGGCTAAATTATTTTTCAAGAACCATTCCTAGAAGCCAAAGGCATTTCGCATGACGTATATCGTATCACAGGTATCACTCTAACTCCTCGATAGTTCTAGGAATGTTCCAGGCGCTGGCGAGTTTCTATAAATCACGAGATGATTGGCCAGTTAAAATGAGTTACAGATTTGCATTTATTAATTTCATGGCGCAGTTGATTATTTGCCTTAATTCGTTCCTAAACAGATTTTGCATGAATCGGCCAAATGTTTCTTTATTATATTGGAGCAGAACAATAAGCTCTGCCTTATGATCACATGTAATTTTATCCCAATGTCTGAAACATATGCAATTGGTAATGTTAAGGGTGCCGGACAACTTTGTGGGCGCAGTTTTTTTCGATCCATAGTTCCCTCAATCACAGATTTCAGGATATATACAAAAAAAAAAATTGTTTTTCTTAACAATAGCCCTGCCCATTCACACATTCTGATAAATTTTAGGTATAAATTATAGGTTATGAAAAACCGTTCCCTCAGGGAACGATTGAGTCATGCGATTTTTCTTTCACGAGACAAAGCAATACATACAGTACATACTGTATGTTATTTAGTATTCGATCAATGCAAAATACCTTGCGATGTGAATAATAGCACAGTCTACGTGATACATAAAAATGAATAATTGACTCGAAATGTTATATACGGCCGATCTTTCATTTCAGAGAGTATTATATGATATATTGGAAGATCCTGAGTTCTTGAGAATGGAGGATGAATTATTCGGATGTCATTATATGGAAAAATTATACTAAAATTGGTGGAGTTTAAACGAAGGAGAATATCACATTTGATTATACGTTGCATGAACTAAGAAATGATACAAGATGCCGGATACTAGAAATTTTGATCCGGAGTTAATAAGTTTTAGAACTACGATCTATAATAGCGTAATGTTTTACTTTTCTGATTACACCTATCAGAGATCATTAAATTACATATCAAATATTTTATTTTCCCGATGCAAACAATGAATGCTTTATTATTTTTTGCCTATAAAAAATGCTATCAGATAGATCACCATCACGTGAAAAAAATCATCAGCTAATGCAAGATTTTTCAAATATCATGCTTTTCAACTACGACTTAACCATCCATTGAAAAAAAAAAAAAAATAGAACTACGTTAATATTCACTTTCATTATCACTACCTTGAATAATATCTTGAAGATCTTTAACTCGTTTTTTTTTAGGGGTCGTATGAGTAGATGATGTAAGAGATACACTATTTCGAGGGGTGTCTGGGGCTCATCATTTTCATCGAGAAACTGTTCAAAATCTATTGACTCGTTTACTAAGTTAAATGTTCGCTTAATTATAGATTTTAAGGCTAAAACCTCCATTATAATGAACGCAAGTGATTGGTAATTGCTTAAACGACTAGGAACTTCATAAAATTTTCGACGACGAATACGAGTAACATATCCCATCGGAAGATCAGCAGTAATTACTTGCATCATATTGGCTCCTTGGAGAATCCCGGCTGTTTGTAGCTTCCTTACAATATCTTCTTTCATATTGCATTCGCTTGCAAGTTCGTTTAATATGTCTTTAAGCATTTTACACATTTTTAAGGAATCTGTTAGGAACTTGGTTCCTTTTGATCCCTCCCAGTTTCTCCCGGCTTCAATCGCACCGAATTCAAGGTGATTGTTGCGTAGCCTAAAGATCCCGTCCCCTTTTTTTCCGATTTTTTTTCGGTCGTTTACAGTCCTATCAATGTTCTTTCTATTGCTTGATGATAAACTCTGCCCTTCTCCCCGCACCAACTCAATTTCCATCCCACGAAAAGCAGGATCTACTAAATGGGCCCAAACATTCATCTCAAACCAACCTTCTAGTTTTGAAGATGAATTAAAATTGCTTTCTCCTTTCCACAGAGAATACATGGATCTATACGCAAGGTTTATATAGTCTAAATCTGTTGAGTAAGGAACATTATCAGGGAAAAATTTTTCAAATACAACTTTTTGAAAGGTAGATAGTTCGTGTACTGTGTATTTTTTTAAGAAATCTGTAATATTTTTATCGATCTTTGGTACTTGTTTGAGATTGGTGGAAAAGATTTCATTCCATTCATCGTTGTTAAATAGTTTTTTTGCCTCTTGATCAGCATCGTTTATAATGAAAGAGTGTAAGTAGGAATCATGTTTAAATTTTCGTGCATGATCATAAATAACTTTTTCGACAACACGACCAGACGAATTGAGAGTCCATGTTTTTTGGGGATCAAGAGACTGGTAAGCACGCTCAAAATTCGAAAGATCATAATCACTTTCAGCAGTGGTGGATCCATTAATATCAAATCGTCTTTTAATCTGAATCAAAATTGTAATGAACGTCAATAATTATAGCTCCGTAACTTAAATACACTGGTGTTACTTACTCTCCGAGATTCCTCATAATCAGGATCTGAACTTATATTTGTGTCCGTTGAGTCTTCAGCATAAGATACTGGCTTTCTTTCTCTAAGCTCTCGCTTGCGTTTAATAATAGCCTTAGTAGTTGAAGTGCTCCCAGCAACGGCAAGAGAGTTTCCTGATAATGTCGAATTGTGGATGTGAATCGAGGAACCACCGCTTATTTTACTTGATTTACGTTTTTTTTCCCAATCTTTGGCGAGTAGTTGGTCAGGTTTATTTCCCTTTTAAACAAGATTCAGATTAATAATGTTCTTAACTAGCATATCCGTGTTTTCCACCCGATTTCCATCCCACAAGGTCAACGGTCGCTAGATCAGCGAATGGTTTTGAACATCAGACAACCGATTGAAGGGTTATCTGTGCCCTAGTAGGATCAGTGCTAGATCAGCGGTTGCTGGATAAGCAAATGGCCTTGAACATCAGACTACCGAGTAAGCTATCAACATGGGTCGTCTGTGCTCCAGTACTGATTTTGTGGCTCAGCGGTCGCGAAAAATGCGAATGGCCTTGAATGATCAAGAACCGAGTGGATCTTGGGTCCTTGTCACGCCACTATTCCTATTTAACAAAAATTTTACTTACATCACTGTATCTACTGAGAAGCTGTTCTGCCATTTCTTTTCTCTTTTTTTGCTCACCACTGGCAATAAGTCTGAGGCACCTAATGTATCGATCCACTTTTTTGTCGAACGGCTCGAGGTTGCATTGCTCTAAAAATTCTATAATGTTCCATGTTGAAGGCTTTTGTTCGAAATATTCATAATATTCATTCCTATTTCGTCCATCTAATTTTGGAAGATACCGTAATTAAGTTGGAAATAAGTTTTTTTGGAGTTACGTGAAATGTAACAGAAGGGCAATTGGGCAAAAGAGAATCGAAGTTACTGATGAAAATTATAATCCTGCACGTAAAAAAATTTCCAATTGGGGAACAGAAACCGTTACACGTTAACATACACAATTTTGATTGGATTATTGTCACGATATATACAGATATACTGATTTCAAAGCAAATAATACTTTCCTTTCAGATACCAATGATGAGTAGATTTTTGAACCATAAATCTCTTAGTAATCCATTTGATGTTTACTTCCCTTCTTCTCATAAATTCGAAGTCCAGGAGAAAGTCTTAAAAGAAGGCATACATGAGTTAAAAAACAAAAGCCCTATTGGGAAACTATTAATTTGATCGGAGAATAAACAGCACGACTCTTGGAAATCCGTTTAATTTTTATCTATGAAGCTGGACAGGGCTCATGCATAAGAAACGGCGCAGTATATTATCAAACTAAGATTTCGGCAATTAGTGCGAAACTTTTATTAATTTTTTAGAAAATATTAAAGCGAATGAAATATATGATGCTATCAAAGAGGGAGGGAGTACGCGGATCCTAGGCCATTTAATGCGAGTCCCAGCATCAAG